GTAGGCTGCTCCATTATTTAAAACATCGAATATCATGTTGATGTTTTTCGGTGGTAGAACGGATTAAATTGATTACCATTAATGTCAATGGGGACATTCGTTTTGTATGACGTCCATTTCACATGACGACGACGACGCTAGAACGGATTAAATTCATTATTTGAGGTACCACTGTACAGTGGCACCTCGATTAATGTGTTTAATCCGTTCCTGCACTGAGCTCATCATGTGGAAAACTCGTCTTGCGAAACAACAACAAAACTGTCATAAAAGGTGTCCGAGAACCAGCGGAAATGCTCGTTAATCGAGGAAAAGCTCGTTAGTAGAGACAAATGTTCTGGGAGTGGCTTGCTCGTTACTCAAAATGCTCGTAGATAGAACCGCTCGTTAATCGAGGTGCCACTGTATATCCATATCAGCCTGAATAGTTCTGGGGATCCTCTGGGTCTCACCCAGAAAATGCCGTTTCATTACATTCAACGCTGTCTTTTTTTTCTTTTTTTAGTGTCCTGCTATGAATTAATAGTTTGTATATCAATATGGACAAATTTATTATGTGGCCTAATGCTGAAGGTCTTATCTAGTGATTCTTGACATTACAAAACAATTTTGCTGTGATAATTCCTAATTTGAACCCCTTGTTCAAAATCTGTATAATTTTGTATTTAAAATCAGAACTCTTTCCTGTTCAAAATGTTCATCCTTCCCTGTTTAAAAACTGGCACTCTCCCTTGTTAAAATCTGCACCATTTCTGGTTAATATACATCTTTTCTGGTATATAATCTACACACTTCCCTGTATAGAAGCTGCACTATTTCCTGTTCAAAATCTACATACTTCCTTGTTTAAAATATGCACCCTTTCCTGTTCAAAATCTATACCTTTCCTTATTCAAAATCTGTACTTTCTCTGGTCAACAACTACAACCTTCCCTGTTCAAAATCTGCATCCTTTCCTGTCCAGAGTCTGCTACATTTTCTGTTCAAACTCTGCCACATTTCTTGTTTAAAGTCTGCAGCATTTCCTGTTCAAAACCATTTAGTTTCTTTGTTGGTCAAGTCTTGCTACAAGTGTCGAGTTGCATCTTAGGTGGCCTATTTTTTGCATATATTCATGAACAGAGTAATAAAAAAATTCTGAAAATTTACAGGTACATTTAGTGTTATGTTGCCAAGAGAAAAGATATGTAAGTTATAGTTTAAGAGCAGTGATCTAGAATTTTGACTATTCATTCAAGTATGCAATTTAATAATTATGAAGTCCAAAAAGGCCCAGTTTATATTTAATTTTAATTCCATTCCAAGAAAATAAGAGCCCAAAATCCATAACAGTTGGTTAATTCTTGCTGTGGGATGGTTCTCCTCAGTGGCGTTCCAAGCCTTCCACTTGGTTAGCACCAAGCCTAACCACCGCACCAGGCCCTTGGGGGTCACAAGCATCTACCAGGGTCCACAACCAGAATCTAGCCCCTCTCAATAGAGGTTGTAGCAACCACATTAGAGATAATGTGGCAACGACTTACATTATCTCCACATTTCCAGGAATCAAACATCCCACTAATGACAGCTGCAATATACTGTATAATAATTTAATGTGTTGGGGGGACAGGCAGCTAGAGTGTATTTATGCACATTAGGCTTATATTGAGGTCTCCCTCAAGGTTGAATTACTGACCCTGCCCAGGATGCAACCCCACAACAAGCTAGTTAACTCCTGGGTAATTACTTACTTCTAAATGAACAGGTGCAGTAGGTGATAGGAAATGCTCCCAACCATTTCTGTTCTGCTCGGAATTCAAACCCAGAATTCTCTATTGCAAGTCGAGAATGAACCCGACTGTACTACCAGGACCCCTCAAATGCTTGTAATACTAATGATATCAAGCAGATATCAAACAAGCTTTCCCATCAGCCAATTTACTGCTGCCTGGGTCTAGAAACAGATCAGGTTAGTATGCATATAAGGCAGCCAGACACAGCATCTTCAGCCTAACTCTACCAGTGGTTCAGTGACAAACACTCTGGATATACTGCAGACCATCTCCAATGGCATCGACATTCATCATCAAACCACTGTCAACTACATTAACTAAGGGGCCTGACACCCAAGTGGACAGCACTTGAGATTCATAATCCTGAGGTTCCGGGTTCGATTCCCGGTGGAGGCGGAAACAAATGGGCAGAGTTTCTTTCACCCTGATGCCCCTGTTACCTAGCAGTAAACAGATACCTGGGAGTTAGACAGCTGCTATAGGCTGCTTCCTGGGGATGTGTAACAAAAAAAGAGACCTGGTCGAGGACCGGGCCATGGGGATGCTAAGCCCCGAAATCATCTCAAGATAACCTCAAGAGACATGCATGAAAATATGTATATTTAATTACCGTAATGTGTTTGGTGTCACCAAAATCAACATAACGATAAAACATTACAAAATAGAGTCGGGGATATCCGATCAATCCAGTCGAAAGGAAAAAAAAACACAAGAAAGGTGGAATGCCCCAAAACAAGTTGGAAACAGTTGTAACTCTGAAAAACTATGTAAACACTCTTTGTCCAGTCCTAACTGCTAGATAGTTACTCTTGTTTACCACCTGACTCCACCAGTAGAAACTCAGGGTTCTAGCTGACTGTCCACATCAGTCATGTGCCTGGTGTTGTGGAAACAATAATTCCTAATGCTCTGTCTGCTCTTTTTTGGCACCTCGAGGGCTGGCTGAAGATGAAGAGACTATGAGCCATAATAAAAGGAGCAAAACTGCCTGCCTCTGAAGAAGTGCATAAAGCTCACTAACATTACAACTAGAAGCAAGAGCTAACAGAAAGACTGCCTACAGAAAAAAAAAATCCTGAGAAAACTGAGACCTTTAGCAGTAAGAACATCATGAGCACTATCCAAAGACTAAAATGGCTCTGAAGGAGAATGAGATGGCTGAAGGTGAAAAAACACCTGAGGCAACTTAAGGAAAAGAGAAGATGAAAGATAAATCCCAAATGCCAGAAAGAGAAGCTTTCCCATGGTTGAATGATAGGTTGTGACATTATAAGGCATCAAGTGATGGTTTACAAACAGCCATGACAAAAGGGTGAGAAACGCAGAAACAGAGACCGTAGAAAGTTGGTGAATGGAGAGCAGCAGGCAAAACCCCTCCAAGCTACCTCTTAATGTCAGTGAGTGGTTACCCAAAGATGGGATAACATAAGGTCAGCCACCTGACCACCATACAGGTGGATCTAAACCAGACCTAAAATACCACATGCTAAGATCGGCAAAATGTCTCAAACCATTTAAGCGATTCATCACGCTCTATTGGAAGAGACGGAGCCTCAGAAAAATGCCTGTGATTGGACAATGAAGTCATAGATTCAGAAACCATGGTTATACCAGTCACCTAGTAGCCACAAAAATCACCCTGCTGAAAACATCTCCAGCTTGACCATAATAAGAAGTAAAAGCCAACCCAAGGTAAAGGGAAGTGAAATCTCATCAGCCTCAGTATAAATGAAAAGCATCTACTACCACAGAAACCACGAGACATACACAGGAAACCATCGATTTCACACAGAGGTGACAAGACCTTGGATGCTCTGGATGACTGAGCATCTCTCACACCCAACAGTAAGACAAGGTTGTCATTCACCCACTAGATCGAAATTGAATGGAACCGAGAGAAAGACCATCTGCGAGGACATTTAATTGGCTCTGGATGTGAACCACTTCAAGAGTTAAACCTCAAGAATTCAGAAACCGTTCTACCCCACAGTCAATCAATTGGGAAAAGACCATCAGGGACTACTCTAGTTGAGACAGCACCACCAGGGAGCAATTGGAATGTAGCGTGAACCAAACTGCAGCCAACTCGTGAAGAGTAATGTTCTTGCAGCAGACAGAGGGCCAGTTACCCTAAGTAGAATAGTGAATTTTTGAGACAAACCCTAGTCAAGAGCTGAAGCATCCATGAATAACTCGAGCATGGGTAGGGTAACGCACCACCAAAGTGAATCACAAAAAGCTTCAAAGAGGAAAAAAAAGACAAAGAAGTCTTTGCAGGCAGGCTATCTCCTAAAGTTTCCCAATATCAAGAAAACTTTCAATTTAAAGTGTCCTCTTCTAACCTACCAGAGAACCCAAAACAGAAAACAGGACAGTGTGTCACTTTTATGAGTCGCTTCCATTTTCTAGTACGACAATCTTTGGTCTTGTGTAACGAATACGAGCAAAAAGCGACGTTCTTTGTAGGAGGATAGGTTGCTGCAGAGCCTCTGGGCTCTGCACTTAGTTCCAGCAACTGCAAAAAGGGTTTTCCTGGAGAAACCAGATGAATCCATCATCCCATCAGAGGCCTTTGAGCTATGCAGTACCAGGCAAGTGAGAGAGGTGACTGACAGGTTGAGACTCCATGTGACCTAGGCCGTCATCTGTGCCAACCACGAAAGTTAGCCTGTTTTGTTTCATTTAACTTTTCTCTGATCAAAATAGCCAGATTTTGGTACTGGCTCATAGGCAGTCAGTGTGGATCTCAAAAGTCAGGCAATACCAGACATAAGCTCCAAGAAGCTACTGAGGGGATTTTCCCAGAATATAACACCAACAAAGGTATGCCATTTTAGCCTAACATGATGGTGAACAGGTACTGATCTAGTTTCCAAAAATATATGAAATAAACAATCATTTTAATTTTGCTTGCTTGACTGTGCTGCATTCAGAACAAAAAATTAATGCACAAAATAACGAAATGAAATCGGGCAAGACAGTGAAGCAGTCATAGCAAATACCAATTAATATAAAGGTTTATCATAAGTGTACCTCTTTGATCTTCGATTTACATTCACCAAAATTTTGAGGTTTCCTTCTTGCCAAGCACCCAGTCCTCCTACAATGTCCTACAATGTATTTACCCTACAATATGATTTAGCTTGATTGAAATGCTCCACATACAAAAGCATATGTCTTCAAGTTTTGTAAGACTGACAAATTATTTCATGAAATGTTCCTTTTCAGATCCAAGATTCTCCAGAAGTGGCCGTATTCTGAAGGGTAAAGGCCCATTGTTTAGTTTGGAATCAAGTTTGGGGGATGGAGACACGGACTGTGATCCTGACTTTGAAATAAAAGGGGAAGAAATTGGTGAAGAAAATGTGGGTCATCAAAGTTTAGTGTACAGGAAGAAGAGAGGAAGAAAAAGAAAAAGACGTCTCCCATCTCCTGATGATTTTGATGATGAACTGGTGCTTGCTAATGGGGATGAAACAGATGGCATGAATGTGGAAGCTTCAATTAAAGACGAACCAATGGATGCAGATGATGATGAATTAGCCATGGAAATCTTGAGAACAAAAGGGTATGGATTAAGAACGAAACGGCGACCAAAGAAACTAAGTGATATGCACTACATAGAGGAAAAGGCAGTTAAAAAACGAATGGAGAGAACTCAAGAATTTTCCTGTCATGTGTGCACAAGAATATTCCCAACATTTTCACGATTACAAAGGCATGCCAAGGAGGTGCACGATTCCACTGAATTTGCATTCCCATGTGATCTTTGTGGTGTTGTTTTCACTAGGCCCCATAACTTAGAACGCCATAAAGATACAAAGCACAGTGATGGTGAAAGGCGTTTTGTTTGTGAACTTTGTGGACGGAGGTTTGGACGTCAAGATGTACTTTCGGTACATATTTCAATGGTTCATTTTAAAAAGGGCTTGCAAGGTAAAAAAGGACCTTCAGTTCTTGGACCTAATACTGTGCACTGTACCAGTTGTGATAAATTTTTTTCCAAAGAACAAAAATTAAAGGAACATAGACAAGGAAATCTAACTTGCAATGATTGTTCAATATCCTTTGAATGCAAGACATCTCTGAGAATACATCAATACAAGCACCATCCAACAGCTTGCAATGAATGTGGAAAGGTTTGTGATAGTAAGCAGCAAATGTATTTTCATCGTTTATCACATGCACCCAAGTTTGTGTGTAAGTATTGCAACAAAGGATTTTTGTGGAAGTCTCAGTATACAGTCCACATGGCAACACACACCGGTGAAAAAAATGTCATGTGTGATATATGTGGTAAATCCTTTGCTCATAAACTTGCTGTGAGTAAACACAAGTGGCAGGAACACAATGAAAATAATAAAAAATTCAAGTGCCAAACCTGTGGTAAATCTTTTGTGTATAAAGGAAAACTGCAATCACATGTGCGTAGTCATACTGGAGAGAAACCATTTACGTGTCATCTCTGCTCTTCTACTTTCTCTCAGCGATGTAATTTGACAGCACACATAAAGAGTGTTCATGGTGTGTACATACAGTCCATCAAGAGTGATGGAACAACTCAAACTCAGCTTGTAAAATATAAACGTGCTAAGAAAATTGCGCCAAGCGAACCACCACCACCACCACCACCACCACCACTACCACCGCCAACAGCTGTGGTAAACACTGTGATATCTCCACCTGTTGAACCTCAAGCTGCTGCTAATCAGCCTCAAGTTGCTATCCAGGAACAAGTACAAATGTCCGAGTCATTTGAAACCGAAGCAGCTGTTTACCAGATTGTATATGCATATCCTCAGTAGCCTGCTCATTCATTTTGAAAGCTTCGTCTTTGCTGTATGTTGTTTTTTATAGTATTTATGCAATATTTGTTATGTTTATTAAAAGGCAGTATGTATAGTGCTGTATGAATATTTAGTATTTATGTTGGTTTAGTTGGTGAATACAAGAAAGTACGAAAACAAGATCATGGGATGATGTAAATCAGAAAAAGATTGCAATAAATTTAAGCTGGCATAAGAGTGTAAAAAGAGAAACAAATTAAATAATTAATATATTGTTGTGTCTGTACTGCAATCCTCACCAGCAGCCACTGTGTAAGTATTTCTGAAAGGTGATTTAGTACTGACTGAAATATGCAGCAATTTTTTTTTTTTTGGGGGGGGGGGGGAGATAAGGGTTTTTTCTTAATATGGCTTCACTATATTAATGAATAGTGTCCTTTACACTTTTTCAACTGGACTTCTTTCAAGTGTGTAAATTGAAACTGAAATCAGCTCTGTTTATTCTTAGATTGGATGGCATTATTTATCCCAGAAAAAGACAGTTAAGTTGTAGTTATAATATGTACAGTACATACTTTCAAAACTAAAACCCCATTGACTTAAACATTGCCATGTATAAATTATTTGTATATACTGTGTGTGTGTGTGTGTATGTGTGTGTGTGTGTGTGTGTGTGTATATATATATATATATATATATATATATATATATATATATATATATATATATATATATATATATATATATATATATATTATTGGGATAAAAGAGGGCTTCTATCCCTCTGACTAGTGCTCTTGCATTATATATATTTGAGTAGCAACATTTGCAAATTGCCGATGATACGAAAATCGGTAGGGAAATTAATTCGGAGGAGGACTCACTATCACTTCAAGTTGATCTAGATAGGGTTTTGAAATGGTCAAAGGATTGGCAGATGCAGTTTAATGCTGATAAATGTAAAGTTCTGAGGTTAGGTAATGATGATAGAGTTACAAGATACGAGCTAGATGGTGTTGTGATTGCGAAGTCGGATTGCGAAAGGGATCTGGGAGTTATGATTAGTAAGAATTTAAAACAAAAGGATCAATGCATAAATGTTCGTAATAAGGCAAATCGGACACTTGGATTTATTAATCGCAGCGTTAGTAACAAGACACCTGGTGTGGTTCTCAAGCTATATCTTGCTCTAGTTAGGCCCCATTTAGATATGCAGTTCAGTTTGGTCGCCATATTATAGAATGGATATAAATTCACTTGAACGTGTCCAGCGTAGGATGACTAAGTTAATTCCCCAAATTAGTATATATATATATATTATTGGGATAAAAGAGGGCTTCTATCCCTCTGACTAGTGCTCTTGCATCTTAGTTTAATTGGAAGAGGATTTCTCCAAATGTCATCTTTGTTTGAAGTAAACTAAAAGAAATAATTAACTGTAGAATGTATTACACTTATTATAAATTTACACAACATTTCGAACCTACATGGCTCATTCTCAAGTGATGGGACTATGCTGGGCATATTGGATTTTATACCATTAGGGAAGTCAGGTACATAATACAAATAGGTGAGGAGTACGGCATAAAGGAGGAAAGAATAGGGCATAAATGGGGGATGTAAATAGGGACGAATAAAGTAAAACAAAGGGGAAGGAACCACATACAAAGATTAAATCAGGTGTAGTGGGCATGGCATTTTGAGCAATGTCTTTTATGTTGGCATTTTCACGTTCCAGTCTTGTTCTTATGCTCATGGTGGGTAGAATGAATAGTTCAATAATTTGGGTATTTATGGTGGGTCGTTCTACTTTTATGTGGATTCCTTCAAGAATTTGTTATCTTCTTACATCTTGGGTTTTATCTATTATACAATTGTTTTATTCAACAAATAAATAAAACAAATATGTTGAATAAAAACACTTGTATAATAGACAAAACCCAAGATGAAAGATTACAAATTCTTGAAGCAATCCACATAAAAGTAGAAAAACCCACCATACCCAAATTACAAAACTATTCACTCTACCCACTATGAGAGTAAGGACAAGACCGGAATATGTAGATGCCAACATAGAAGACACTGCTCAACATGCCACGCCTGATTTAATCCTTGTATGTGTATGATAATCTTTGTATGATAATATGAAATTTAATGATAATGAATAAATAATGAAATTTAATCTTTGTATGAAAACCATAACATGCCTGATTTAATCTTTGTATGTGCTTCCTCCCCTTTTTTCTACTTTATTTGCCCCTATTTACATCCCCCATTTATGCCTTATTTTGTTGACCAGACCACACACTAGAAGGTGAAACACAACATTGCTGCGAGGAGAAGTTAGAGGCATTAAATATGCCAAAACTAGAAGACAGAAGAAAAAGAGGCGATATGATCACTACATACAAAATAGTAACGAATTAATAAAATCGATAGGGAAGATTTTCTGAGACCTGGAACTTCAAGAACAAGAGGTCATAGATTTTTAACTAACTAAACAAAGATGCTGAAGAAATATAAGAAAATTCACTTTTGCAGAGTGGTAGACGGTTGGAACAAGTTAAATGGGAAGGTGGTGGAGGCCAAAACCGTCAGTAGCTTCAAAGCATTATATGACAGAGTGCTGGGTAGACGGGACACCACGAGCTTAGCTCTCATCTTGTAACTACACTTAGGTAATTACAAGATAAACTTGATTTAAGGAGAGGTCACTATGGGGAACTTCGAAAAAGTTTTAATGAGTGTAATTGGACAGACTTGTTGCTAGGCAGGGAAGTAAATGAAATGTATGCCAAATTTTGCAAAATATACGATGAAGGCACACAAACATTTATACCAAGAATCAAAACAGATGAAGATAGACAGAGACTACAGGACGACCTGGACAAACTGGAGGAATGGTCTAGAAAATGGCTGCTAAAGTTCAACTCAGGAAAGTGTAAAGTAATGAAATTAGGCAAGGGGAGCAGAAGGCTGAACACAAGGTACCATCTGGGAGGTGAAATCCTACAAGAGTCAAATAGAGAGAAAGATCTGGGGGTCGATATCACACCAAACCTGTCCCCAGAGGCCCACATCAAAAGGATATCATCAGCGGCATATGCTAGGCTGGCCAATATAAGAACTGCCTTTAGAAACTTGTGTAAGGAATTGTTCAGGACCCTGTATACCACTTATGTAAGACCAATCCTGGAGTATGCAGCTCTAGCCTGGAGTCCATACCTAGTTAAACACAAGACGAAGTTAGAGAAGATTCAGAGGTATGCCACCAGACTGGTCCCGGAACTGAGGGGAATGAGTTACGAGGAAAGGCTAAGGGAGCTGAACCTCACAACCCTGGAAAACAGAAGAGTAAGGGGAGACATGATAACCACCTACAAAATTCTCAGGGGAATTGACAGGGTTGACAAATACAAACTCTTTAACGTGGGTGGAACACGAACAAGGGGACACAGGTGGAAACTTAGTATCCAGATGAGTCACAGAGACATTAGAAAGAATTTTTTCAGTGTCAGGGTAGTTAACAAATGGAATGCATTAACCCTTTAACTGTACAACGCGCTTGCAGACCCACGTCTGGAGTGCGCTACATGCCTCCAGGTATTTTTATTTTTCACGTTCCATTCAAAACTCCTGCGGCTACATGGGGTTCACATCAGCTTTCTCAGGGCTCTTGTAAACAGACGCCATCTTTAAAAAAAATCATGGTCCACATTCCCGGGTGTGAGAGCCTCAGTAGTGAGTGAGCAACCAAGGCTGGCGCTCGCAGCATGAGCGCACAGCACTGCTGTTCAGCGTGTGACCACAGCATCGCCTAATAATGTCAATATATATATATAACCTGTATTATTTAGCCATGATAGTATTATAGAAGAGCCTGAGTGTGATAATGACTGGGTACAATGTTCAAATATCAGTGATTCAATGCTGTTCATGATGTTCACAGCACTAGCCACAGCATTATTTCGTTCATTTAGGAATGTTTAAATGACTTCTTAGGTTCCTTTTCAAAATAAACTTGTGGTCAATTATTCATTTACAGGAATTAGTGACCAGGATTGTAGTTATAATTAGCATTGTGCATAGTATTGTGGAAGGAGGAATTTTGGTGAGGGAGGGAGGAAGGGAGAGAATTGAGGTAGCCTCACTGAGTGACAACCACTCTTGTTTTGCTCACCATACTAGCTTTGTGGTTCGCTATGGAGAGCACACATGTACATGGGTATATACAGTGTGTGTGTATATAGTGTAATAACAGCAACAGGAGTATGTTGAGTGGAGCTTATATTGTTTCTGCTGTATTGTGCCTACCAATTTTTGTCAACTACCATTCAAGCTGTCATTGCAATCAATCTTAGCTACCTATGTGCTTTAATATACTGTACCTACAATTTTCTCTCATCTTCTTTTTTCATTCCATGTAACTGTTATCATTTTTTTGTCTATAAATTTTGCAAGTATTTACCTCCTTAAAATTTTCTTAGATTAAGGACCTGCCCGAAACGCTGCGCGTGCTAGTGGCTTTACAAGACTGTAATTGCCATATTATGTATCCTCACATTCCCAATGTACATTCTTGTATATGCATAAATAAATAAATAAATAAATAAATAAATAAAGCTATTTTGGTGAGGGAGGCGACGTCATAATCGTAGCGTCGTCTGCTGTCTGCTGTGTGATTTCTCATGCAGTGTATGGTGGCCACTGTACTGTTTGGAAACAATACCGGCTTACTTGCATAGTTCTCGTAAATAAAACATGTAGATAGGTATATATAACATGTGTAAATAGTGTAATAAAAACAATAACAGTATGGTGAGAGGAGCAATGTTGGCGAGTAAGATGTTGGAGTGAGGGAGAGCTGGCTGGGTGTGGCTGCTCACACTCTTGGTGTCCTAAATGTGTTGATTCAGATTCAGATTCAGATGTTTATTCAGGTAAGGTATATACATACAAGTGATGTTACATTAATGGATTGATATATAGATAGAGCTAGTACATACAATGCCTAAAGCCACTATTACGCAATGCGTTTCGGGCAAGAAAAACATTAATATCTAGAACTTAATACTAATTGAGCATAAAGAATAAAAGATGTTGAGAACAAATACAAATAAAGATAAAAAAAAAGGGGGAACATGACTGAAAAAGCAGCACAAATACAATAGGTTGACAAACAGTGTTGATTAAAAAAAAAGAAAAAAAAAAGAAAATAACAGACATGGGTTGACAATAGAGGAGTGAGGTAGATTACAGGGAATTTATTAGGT